TTGGTTCAGTCCTGGTCTAGTCCTGGTCTAGTCTTGGTTTGGTCCTGGTCGAGTCTTGGTTCGGTCCTGGTCAAGTCTTGGTTCGGTCCTGGTCGAGTCTTGGTTCGGTCCTGGTCGAGTCTTGGTTCAGTCCTGGTCATGGCCCTCACAGCTCTGGTCCTGCTCTGGTCCATCTATAGTTTGGGTAAGTGAATTTTGTGTCTCTTGTGTGCGACTCTAAACCTGTTTTAGATTTTATTTAAAAAAATATTTTTGACCCTCTGATCACTGGACAAGACTGAACCAGGACTGAACCAGGACTAAACCAGAACTGAACCAGGACTAAACCAGGACTTAACAGGACTGAACCAGGACTAAACCAGGACTAAACCAGGACTGAACTAGATCTGAAGTGTATTTGGATGTCCTTTTTACATGTAAATAAAAAAACATTTTTATGTTCTCAATTAGTCCTTAACAATCCACAGAAAAAGAATATCAGGTTGTTTTTTCCATAAAATAATTCCATGTGGGGAAATAATACAGAAAATGAGTGGACGAATGTGTGACTGAAAATATATGTTTCTGCTTCTGTCACTGTCATTTCTTTGGGCACTGTTGGGTTCGTTTGTTTTCCTCACACTCGTCTTCAAAATGACACCATCCCGGGAGTTGTCCGAGCCTTGGTTTACCTGGAGCACGCCGCTGAAAAACAAGTCCACCAATCTACTTCCTGGTTTTGTGTGTGAACAGTCTAAGTCAGAGGTGGGCAAACTACGGCCTGGGGGCCGCATGCGGCCCTTTAAACCTTCTAATCCGGCCCACCAAACTTGAATAAATTATAGTAATAAACCTTGTTAATGTTTTATTTTTCCTGTATTTCTGGCATTTCCCAAAAAGTTTGCCCACCCCGGTTTAATTTGTTTATGCCAAATCTCTTCAGTCATTGGTTCTTCCAGAAAGTGACTGACATTGTTTTAGCCAATCACCAGAGCTTTCCAACGATGAGTGGGACATGCAGACACTTTCTAAAAGAGGTTGTGTATTTCATGTGCAAAGGAGGAAATGAGAGTGGCACAGGCAGAGGCACACAGACAGCACAACTCACATAATCTTGGAAGACTTTTTTGGCTTCTTTTAGGATTTTTCTTGAGAAAAAAAAGCTCAGAAGAATTAGTATTATAAAAAAATAATAATAATTCTTATTGTTATATTATTATTATTATTATTATTATTATTTGGCACAAATTTGCCACACAAATTTTCATTTTGTATACACAAAGGCTCACAGCATCAAAACTCAGATCTGAAATTCTAGCTAACTTGAACAGTGAGTATCGTGAGTGACAAATGTCTAGCATAAAGTCTTCCCAAGCAAGGGCCTTTATTTTATTCACATTTTTTTCCCAAGCAAAAAAAAATACAATGTTTAGACCTTTTTAATTGACTGTACTGTAGGTTATCCAGCACTCACAGTCTTCATCTGCATATACAGAAACTAGAAGGTCTAAGCTTTAAAACGATGCATCACACAAGCATGTGGATCGTAAGTTTTTTTTTAATAAGCTTTGGCATTTGGGTTTGTGTTACTATTGTGCACATGCCAAAATGAGGTGGATGGGAACAGGTTAAATGATGAGCTGAGATTCATCAAACACTGGATTAATGAAAATAAATTGGTGATTAATGCTGAAAAGACTAAATGCAGGTTATTAGGATCAAATTATCTTTTACAAAACTCTCCTGCTCTAGATGTGTATGTAGGAGACAGCTACAGAATGAGTTACCAGTGTTGTGAATGAAGAACATGTTCATTAAACACATTGATTTTTCAGTGAACTTTGTAACACCCACACGGAGCGCAGGAGATTACCAATCAAAAAAAAATATCTGGGTAACTGATTATTTCTTAAAACTATATATAATGGTCTGCTTGTAATAGATAAAATAAAACAAAGGCAAAGGTATGGCTGTTTCAAATTTAAATTACATTAGACCACTTATATAGACACTGCCAAATCAAATGTTCATTCAGCGCACCCCCTTAATAGTTTTAATTGTCCGTGCGCACGCCCCAATCAGTCTTTCCTCCAAGGAATTTATTTAATCCAGAGTCACCGAATCCCACCGCACCCCTTTAAAACAGTCTCATAAATCCCAAATTAACGATCTTGAAACAAAATGTATATCCAAAGGGGCGCAGCGGCGGCGCGCGCTCTCGTGTGGCGCACCTCGATCCACGCGCAAAGGCAAAGTACATGGACTGATCTCACCGGGTCGAGCTGGGTCCTGTCGGTCTGATCTTTGGGACCGTATACGTGGTCCAAATCGGTACCGTCAGTTAGTAATCCATGTTACGTCCTTTCGATCCCGAACAAGTGCCAGCGGCACAGCAGTGAGTTGGGGCTGCGTGCGCGCGCTCTCACGTGTGTTTCTTTATACTATTAGGCGGGCGCGAACAGCTGATCATGTAAACAATAACAGAAAAAGAGTGACCACAGTACACTTTAGGAACAAAGAAAAATACACTTAACCCTTTTATGTTGCATGGGCTACATAGACCCCCCCCCTCAAGCCGGAGGCTACATGAGTCAAACACCGTAATACCTTTTTAGGTTAACTACGTTAACAGTGTCCCTTTTTCCTGGGGAATCTGCCCAACCCACTTCATAGTTGAGAGGCCCTAACTTCCTTTCAATAGTTGCTGGCCATTCCCATTTAGGTGCTAACTTTGCTGAAAATCTCTCGGTAGCTTTTGAAAGTGGATGAGTACGCACCCAGACTAAGTCACCTTGATAGAACTGCACCTCCTTTCTGCATGCATTATAGTACTTAGCTTGTCTGGCTTGGTGCACTCCTACCCTCCTTTTAACCTCTTCATTCAGCCTGTGTTGCCGTTCTACCAGGTCATAGGTTTGCTGATGGTCAGGACTTGGTGGTTTATGGATGAAACGCTCCGGTGGACCTTTGAGTTGTCTGCCCAGTGCCAGTTCAGCTGGAGTCTTCCCTGTCATCTCCTGTTGAGCGGTATTTATAGCAAACCTGAACTCTGGCAGCTACTGGTCCCATGCAGTGTGATGCTGGCCCACATATGATGCAATCATGGTTTTGATCGTTCGATTGAAGGGTTCTGTGAGATTCGTTTGTGGAACAAAGAAAAATACAATTAACCCTTTTATGTTGCATGGATTACAACTTTGAACTGAACACAGTACATTTGTAACGTGACGGTGAATTTGTTCAGATTATGTGAGATGAACGACGTTCATGACTGTTTGAGTTCAGTTAAACATCAGAATTTGATTTCACCTGAAGAGTCGAGTGACGAGGTCTGCTGCACTTTTTAAATTGCGTGTTGCTCTGTCACTGAGTGTGTTTACAGGGCATTGGCGTCCAAAAGACAAACACTTTTCAGTCTTTTCATCACAACAGAAGCAAAATAAATAAACTAACCAACATAAATAAAGTGAAATGATGTTAAATAAAGAGCTGCAATAAACCTGCACATGTCTGATCTCTAAAAACATGAACCACCTCCAACATGACACACACAGAACACACTCATCATCATCATCATCATCATCACCATCATCGTCATCATCATCATCACCATCACCGCATCATCATCATCATCATCATCATCATCACCATCATCACATCATCATCATCATCATCATCATCATCATCATCACCATCATCATCATCATCATCATCATCATCATCATCATCATCACCATCATCATCATCATCATCATCATCACCATCACCCATCATCATCATCATCATCATCATCACCATCACCATCATCACCATCATCATCACCATCATCATCATCATCATCACCATCATCACATCATCATCATCATCATCATCATCACCATCATCATCACCATCATCATCATCATCATCATCATCACCATCATCATCATCATCATCATCATCATCATCACCCATCATCATCACCATCATCATCATCACCATCACCATCATCACCATCATCATCATCATCATCATCATCATCATCATCATCATCATCACCATCATCATCACCATCATCACCATCATCATCACCATCATCACCATCATCACCCCATCATCATCATCATCATCATCATCATCATCATCATCACATCACATCATCATCATCATCATCATCACCATCATCACCATCATCACCATCATCATCATCATCATCATCATCATCACCATCATCATCATCATCATCATCACCATCATCACCATCATCATCATCATCATCATCATCATCATCATCATCATCATCATCATCATCATCATCATCATCATCATCATCATCATCACATCATCATCATCATCATCATCATCATCATCATCATCATCACCATCATCACCATCATCACCATCATCATCATCATCATCATCATCATCATCATCATCATCACCATCATCATCATCATCATCATCATCATCATCATCATCACCATCATCATCACCATCATCATCATCATCATCATCATCATCATCATCACCATCATCATCATCACATCATCATCATCATCATCATCATCATCATCATCATCATCATCACCATCATCACCATCATCATCATCATCATCATCATCATCATCATCATCATCATCATCATCATCATCATCATCATCATCATCATCATCATCACATCATCATCATCATCACCATCATCATCATCATCATCACCATCATCACCATCATCACCATCATCACATCATCATCATCATCATCATCATCACATCATCATCATCATCACATCATCATCATCATCATCATCATCATCATCATCACATCATCATCATCATCATCACCATCATCACATCATCATCATCATCATCATCACATCATCATCATCATCATCATCATCATCATCATCACCATCATCATCATCATCATCATCACCATCATCATCATCATCATCACCATCATCATCATCATCATCATCATCATCATCATCACCATCATCATCATCATCACATCACATCATCATCATCATCACCATCATCACCATCACCACATCATCATCACCATCATCATCACCACCATCATCACCATCACCATCATCATCACCACCATCATACCACTATAAAAAACAAACACAATATTTCCAGATAATAAAACTGATAAAAAAAATAAAAAAAAAGTGATTAAAACATACAATATCTAAAGGAAATATCTCACATAATTGTATCACTTCATTTGATTTGGTTTTGTGTATTTGAGTTTCCTCTTCTATAGTTGTTTGTTGTTATGGCGGCCCCGTGTATCGTATGTGTGGTTTGTGTTGTTTGTGTTGTTTGTGTGGTTTTATTGATTGTGTATTTGAGTAAGTGAATTAATAATAATAATAATAATAATTTTTAAAAAGCCATTATGTGACATGTCTCTTGTGTGTGCAGGGGTCCTGACAGAAGACAACAGCTCAGGTAAAGACACTCACACACCAGGCTAACCACTCTGCCACAGTAACACAAGGAAAGGTAAAAGGGCAGGGCCTCACTGCTCAGGTAAAGGGGCGGGGCTTCACTCTGTCTCTTGTCTGTTCAGAGCCGCTCAGGTTGGTGGGAGGAGCCAGTCGCTGTGATGGAACTGTGGAGCTGAAACACAGAGGAGAGTGGAGACGAGTGGATGTGTCCTATGACCTCTGGCACCAGGAGCACACAGTTGGTGTGTGCAGAGACCTGGACTGTGGCTCTGCTGTTTATGGAAAACATAGATATAATTTTTCAAAGAGTCCTGTGTGGAGGGTCAGACCTGACTGTGTGAAGGAGTCTTCAGTGAGAGAATGTGTCTGGGCTTCATCTTCTTCCTCTTCCTCGGGTCTGGAGGTGAAGTGTTCAGGTAAAAGTGTTTTTGTAAATGTTCAGGTTGAATGTGTCCAAATAGAAGAAAGGAAACATGTGTGACATGGTTAAATGTGTGAAAAGTCCCTTTTGCAGCAGAGCTCTGCTTTAATAGTTGAATCTTGTAGATTGTGTGCAGCAGTGACAGTGACAGAGTGTCTCATGTTCTCTTTGCTGATTCTCTGGAGATGGAGTAAACCTGTGTGCTTGTGATGGAGGATGCTGGGAGTGTGTGTGTTTGATTCTTGTTGTAAATGGATTCTACATAAAAGATCCGTTTAGACAAAGTTGTGTCTCTGATGACGTCATAGATGAGAAAATAAAGCTGCTTTTGTCTTAAATGTGTTTCATTTGTAAAGTGGAAGTGTCAGTGCGTTTACATGTGCAGCAGGATCCCAGTTATGACACTGTTCTGGACAGAGTGTTTCCATGAGCTCAGAGAAACCAGGATACTCATGTCCCTGTGCACATGCACCATCAGAGGAGACGGGACATTTACACTGGTCGCTATGGCAACTATGGCACAGATATGACAAATGATAAACATGGAGCATCTTTGATCATTTAAGACTTTTTAACTGATTTATAACAACAAAAAACACTTACACACATTCAACTAACAACACACACAGATACACACACACATACACACACAGATACACACTGTGTGAGAGGTCAAATCACCAGTCGTGTAATGGAGTTTAGCTCAGGTGTTTAATTTGCTCGTCTTTCATCTTTTATTATCAGAGCTTAAGATTCACTTCAGAATTAATATCTTTTTCATTCTTCCCCTTTGGTTTATAAACCTAATAAATCATTAAAATTTAAAACTTTTAATAGTGAAGATGATTCTTATGTGTTTGTAACAAAAATATAATCAAGTCACATGAACACAGCAAGTGTCCTATTGGTTCAGAGTGATGATGTCACACATGTGTGTGCGTCCTATTGGTTCAGAGTGATGATGTCACACATGTGTGCGTCCTATTGGTTCAGAGTGATGATGTCACACATGTGTGCGTCCTATTGGTTCAGAGTGATGATGTCACATGTGTGCGTCCTATTGGTTCAGAGTGATGATGTCACACATGTGTGCGTCCTATTGGTTCAGAGTGATGATGTCACATGTGTGTCCACAGACTCGGTGCGGTTGGTCTCGGGGTCCGGTCTGTGTTCAGGATCAGTGCAGATCTGGGACGGGTCCTGGACCGGGGTCTGTGACGGGGACTTGGACCAGCGGGGGGCAGAGGTGCTGTGCAGGGAGCTGGGCTGTGGGGCTCCTTCTCTCCTCCAGGGGGCGCTCTCTCCTCTGGGGCAGACGTTCCACTGTGAGGGCCATGAGTCTGCTCTGATGGACTGTCCCCGCTCCAACTCAAGCTCCTGCTCCTCTGGAACCACTGTCCACCTCACCTGCTCAGGTAAAGGGGCGGGGCTTCACTGCTCAGGTAAAGGAGCGGGGCTTCACTCTGTCTCTTGTCTGTTCAGAGCTCAGGTTGGTGGGAGGAGTCAGTCGCTGTGCTGGGACTGTGGAGGTGAAACACAGAGGAGATTGGAGACGTGTGACAACCTCTGTATATTGGCACCAGAAGGACACAACTGTTGTGTGTAGAGACCTGGACTGTGGCTCTGCTGTTTATGGAGAAAAGAAATATGGTTTTCCACAGAGTCCTGCGTGGAAGGTCTCATCTGACTGTGTGAAGAAGTCTTCAGTGAGAGAATGTGCCTCTGGTTCATCCTTCTATTCCTCTTCCTCGGGTCTGGAGGTGAAGTGTTCAGGTAAAAGTGTTTTTGTAAATATTCAGGTTGAATGTGTCCAAATAGAAGAAAGGAAACATGTGTGACATGGTTAAATGTGTGAAAAGTCCCTTTTGCAGCAGAGCTCTGCTTTAATAGTTGAATCTTGTAGATTGTGTGCAGCAGTGACAGTGACAGAGTGTCTCATGTTCTCTTTGCTGATTCTCTGGAGATGGAGTAAACCTGTGTGCTTGTGATGGAGGATGCTGGGAGTGTGTGTGTTTGATTCTTGTTGTAAATGGATTCTACATAAAAGATCTGTTTAGACAAAGTTGTGTCTCTGATGACGTCATAGATGAGAAAATAAAGCTGCTTTTGTCTTAAATGTGGGGGGAGAGCTGTTGACCTCAACTGGGGATGTTGTCCGGCGGTGGAAGGAATACTTTGAGGATCTCCTCAATCCCACCGTCATGTCTTCCGAGGAGGAAGCCGAGGCTGGGGACTTGGAGACGGACTCATCCATCACCCTGGCTGAAGTCACTGAGGTGGTTGGAAAGCTCCTTGGTGGCAAGGCTCCGGGGTTGGATGAGATCCGTCCTGAGTACCTTAAGTCTCTGGATGTTGTGGGGCTGTCTTGGCTGACACGCCTCTTCAAAATCGCGTGGCGGTCGGGGACAGTACCTCTGGACTGGCAAACCGGGGTGGTGGTCCCTATGTATAAGAAGGGGGACCGGAGGGTGTGTTCCAACTATAGGGGGATCACACTCCTCAGCCTTCGCGGTAAGGTCTATGCCAGGGTACTGGAGAGGAGAATCCGGCTGATAGTCGAACCTCGGATCCAGGAAGAGCAGTGTGGTTTTCGTGCTGGCCGTGGAACACTGCACCAGCTCTACACTCTCCATCGGTGCTCGAGGGTTCATGGGAGTTTGCCCAACCGGTCCACATGTGCTTTGTGGATCTGGAGAAGGCATTTGACCGTGTCCCTCATGGTGTCCTGTGGGGGGTGCTCTGGGAGTATGGGGTCCGGGGCCCTTTGCTAAGGGCTGTCCGGTCCCTGTATGACCGGAGCAGGAGCTGTGTTCGCATTGCTGGCAGTAAGTCAGACCTGTTTCTGGTGCATGCTGGACTCCGCCAGGGCTGCCCTTTGTCACCGGTTTGCAGCCGAGTGTGAAGCGGTTGGGATGAGGATCAGCTCTTCTAAGTCTGAGGCCATGGTTCTCGACCGGAAAAAGGTGGCTTGCCCTCTCCGGGTGGGTGGGGAGTCTCTGCCTCAAGTGGAGGAGTTCAAGTATCTCGGGGTCTTGTTCACGAGTGAGGGGAGGACGGAACATGAGATTGACAGGCGGATCGGTGCAGCTTCGGCAGTGATGCGGTCGCTGTATCGGACCGTTGTGGTGAAGAGGGAGCTGAGCCGAAAGGCGAAGCTCTCGATTTACCGGTCAATCTTCGTTCCTACTCTCACCTATGGTCATGAGCTCTGGGTAGTGACCGAAAGGACGAGATCACGGATACAAGCGCTCGAAATGAGTTTCCTCCGCAGGGTGGCTGGGCGCTCCCTTAGAGATAGGGTGAGGAGCTCAGTCACACGGCAGGAGCTCAGAGTAGAGCCGCTGCTCCTCCACATCGAGAGAAGCCAGCTGAGGTGGCTTGGGCATCTGTTCCGGATGCCTCCTGGGCGCCTCCCTCGGGAGGTGTTCCGGGCATGTCCCACCGGGAGGAGGCCCCGGGGAAGACCCAGGACACGCTGGAGGGACTATGTCTCTGGGCTGGCCTGGGAACGCCTCGGGGTCCCCCCGGAGGAGCTGGAGGACGTGTCTGGGGTGAGGGAAGTCTGGGAGTCCCTGCTTAGGCTGCTGCCCCCACGACCCGGCCCCGGATAAGCAGACGAAAATGGATGGATGGTTTAATTTGCTCGTCTTTCATCTTTTATTATCAGAGTTTAAGATTCACTTCAGAATTTTATTTTTTTCCATTCTTCCCCTTTGGTTTATAAACCAAATAAATCATTAAAACTTAAAACTTTTAATAGTGAAGATGATTCTTATGTGTTTGTAACAAAAATATAATCAAGTCACATGAACACAACAAGTGGACACTTGTCCTATTGGTTCAGAGTGATGATGTCACACATGTGTGCGTCCTATTGGTTCAGAGTGATGATGTCACACATGTGTGCGTCTTATTGGTTCAGAGTGATGATGTCACACATGTGTGCATCTTATTGGTTCAGAGTGATGATGTCACACATGTGTGCGTCCTATTGGTTCAGAGTGATGATGTCACATGTGTGTCCACAGAGTCGGTGCGGTTGGTCTCGGGGTCCGGTCTGTGTTCAGGATCAGTGCAGATCTGGGACGGGTCCTGGACCGGGATCTGTGACGGGGACTTGGACCAGCGGGGGGCAGAGGTGCTGTGCAGGGAGCTGGGCTGTGGGGCTCCTTCTCTCCTCCAGGGGGCGCTCTCTCCTCTGGGGCAGACGTTCCACTGTGACGGCCATGAGTCTGCTCTGATGGACTGTCCCCGCTCCAACTCAAGCACCTGCTCCTCTGGAACCACTGTCAACCTCACCTGCTCAGGTAAAGGGGCGGGGCTTCACTGCTCAGGGAAAGGGGCGGGGCTTCACTCTGTCTCTTGTCTGTTCAGAGCCGCTCAGGTTGGTGGGAGGAGCCAGTCGCTGTGATGGGACTGTGGAGCTGAAACACAGAGGAGAGTGGAGACGAGTGGATCTCTATGGACTTTGGGATCAGGAGCAAACAGCTTTTGTGTGCAGAGACCTGGACTGTGGCTCTGCTGTTTATGGAGAAAAGAAAGATGATTTTCCACAGAGTCCTGTGTGGAAGGTCTCATCTCACTGTGTGAAGGAGTCTTCAGTGAGAGAATGTGTCTCTGGTTCATCCTCCACTTCCTCTTCCTTGGGTCTGGAGGTGAAGTGTTCAGGTAAAAGTGTTTTTGTAAATGTTCAGGTTGAATGTGTCCAAATAGAAGAAAGGAAACGTGTGTGACATGGTTAAATGTGTGAAAAGTCCCTTTTGCAGCAGAGCTCTGCTTTAATAGTTGAATCTTGTAGATTGTGTGCAGCAGTGACAGTGACAGAGTGTCTCATGTTCTCTTTGCTGATTCTCTGGAGATGGAGTAAACCTGTGTGCTTGTGATGGAGGATGCTGGGAGTGTGTGTGTTTGATTCTTGTTGTAAATGGATTCTACATAAAAGATCCGTTTAGACAAAGTTGTGTCTCTGATGACGTCATAGATGAGAAAATAAAGCTGCTTTTGTCTTAAATGTGTTTCATTTGTAAAGTGGAAGTGTCAGTGCGTTTACATGTGCAGCAGGATCCCAGTTATGACACTGTTCTGGACAGAGTGCACACACAAACACACAAACACACACACAAAACACACGGATACACATACACACACAGATAAACACACATACTCACTCTGTGTGAGTGAGGGGGCGTGTCTGCGTGAGGGGTGTGTCTGTGTGAGGGGTGTGTCTGTGTGAGGGGGCGTGTCTGTGTGAGGGGGCGTGTCTGTGTACATTATAAGTTTAAATCAGACGGTGTCAAATTTCACTTCAAAGTTTAACTGAACCTTTTTACAACTAAAGAAATAAACAAACGAACTCAAGTCCTGATGTGGAGAGTAACTCTAGTCCTGATGTGTAGAACAGGGGTGGGCAAATTATGGCCCAGGGGCCGTATGCGGTCCTTTAAACCTTCTAATCCGGCCCGCTGAACTTGAATAAATTATAATAATAAACCTTGTTAATGTTTTATTTTTCCTGTATTTCCGGTGTTTCCCAGTACATGGCGCACTACATATACACTGAGGTGTGGCGTATTATGTTGCCGCAGTGTTTTATGGGAAAGTGTTCTTTGGGACTATAATGACAGGAGTGATTCTCGGTCGGTGTATTTGGACCATGAGTGAGGTAGAAGTGTTCAACACAAAACGCTGAACTGTTTCTGTTCTGAACAGTATTAAGTAAAGTGGAAAGATTTGTGAACGTAGTTTTACAAAGTCTTCACACACAGAGTGCTGTAACATGAAATGGAATGGAGGTTTGTTTGGGCTTATTAAGGTTTGGTTGAGTCTAGGGTCATGCAGAGGAGTGTTGCAATCGTGTATTTTGGTCAGTGGTAATTCCAGTTTAGGGAGGTAGGCAAAAGGAAATTTGGTGACGGCTACAACTAGATGGTGCCCAGACACATGTGGCGCCCTGGGCGAGCGCCTTATCTGCCGACATGAGGTGCCGGGCCTATGCACATCAGTATTCCAGTTATTAGCCATATCCCGGTTCTGTCAATATTTGGGAAACTGCGTTTACATGCGCTCTGAGAAACCGGGACACTCATGTCCCTGTGACATGATCAAATGGAGTGTCCTTGATGAGCTCCTTAATTCCATGTATCGTTCATTCATTTTTCAATATAAAACCAAAAATAAGAAAATGAAAAAAACTGTTTTCTTCATTATTTGTCTCTAAAACCAAAATGAAAAAACAGATCATGATTCGTTTTTTCAGTTTTCGATTTTGTGTTTAAATGAAAAATGGAAAAAACGGATAACAACCGTTTCCTGTTTACGTGACTTCTGTGACTGTGATGTCAGACTTTTGCACCGCATACAGACTGAACCAGGACTGATCCAGGTCCGGGACCACACCGAAACCATAGCAGGACTGAGACCCAGACCAAACCAGGACCAGACCGGGACCAGACTGCGACCAGAGTGGGACCAGAGTGGACTCCAAGCTTTGACTCTGAGCCTCCGGTCTGGTCCCGGTCTCAGTCTCGCTCTGGTCCCAGTGTGGTCCCGGACCTGGATCGATCCTGGTTCAATCCATATTTGGTGCAAAAGTCCGACATCGCAGTCACGGAAGTCACGGAAACAGGAAACGGTCGTTATCCGTTTTTTCCATTTTTCATTTAAACACAAAATCGAAAACTGAAAAAACAAATCATTATCTGTTTTTTCATTTTGGTTTTGGAGACAAATAATGAAGAAAAAAGTTGTTTTTTCATTTTCTTATTTTTGGTTTTATATTGAAAAACAAATCAACTAATGACACATGGGTTTCTGATCCACTGCACAGATCAAACCCAACGTCTCCAAACATTGTACAAGTTACACTCACATAAATAAACTCAACTTTACTAAATAAAAACCAGAACCACATTAGCCCGTTTGATCATATAATTCAGCTTTGCCACATTTGTTTACGTTTTACAGAAACAAAACTTAAAACTGCATGGTTCATTTGCATAAACTGATAACGCTGATAAAAAACAGCATCAATAAAAAAAAATAAAAAATAAAAAAAACTGCTCGCTCCGTGTGTCGCTGATGTGGTTCAGTTTCTGTGGGACTAAAGGACAGGACTCAGTGGAATATGAGTGTTCTCTCTGTGACAGAGGGGTGTTCTGCTGATGATGAGTCTGTTCTGTGTTTATATCGTAGGAGATATTTCATGTTTAACTTTTCGGTGATTGTACCTGTGCAGGTCATACGAGTGCAGATTCATGTGCAGGTTTAGCTCAGCCATTTCACTCATTTATGGTCACTTTATTTATGTCGGTCACTTTATTTATGCCAATCACTTTATTTATGTCGGTCACTTTATTTATGTCGGTCACTTTATTCATGCCAATCACTTTATTTATGTCGGTCACTTTATTTATGTCACTACTGTTGTGATGAAAAGACTGAGAAGTATTTGTGTTTTGGACACATTCACACTCAACTTTACATTGTAGTATTGGGGTTAGTGCGTTTACATGCAACATGACTGAAAAAACCCGATGGTCACAGAGACACTGATGTTCATGTAAACACACTCATGATGAACAATGCTCCAGATCAAATAGAAGTCATCTCTCTCAGACTGACACGCTGACACTGTTCTGTCCTTGAGTCGGTCGTTGGTGAGTTTTGGAGACGAACGTTGAACAGAAGTAAATCTGCATCTTCTACTGTTTTTGAAATAAAGAGTCAGGAGGAGAGAGACGATGAGAAGATCCTGAAGTAGAACACAACTTTCACTGCTTTTAAATAGAAACTGTTAGTAATAAAAAAAAGTATTTTATTAATTTCATTTTCAGTGTTTTAGAAATACAGATATTTTGTTGTGATTCTTTGTAGTGATTTTCAAGTGAAATTCAAGTTCAGGTTTTCTACATTTCTCATGTTATTTTTTTTCTCTCCATCATCTGCTCCTGGTCCAGACCTTCCCTCAAATTTTAGAACCTTTGTGGCCCATGATCAGTGTTGGGGAGTAACAGATTACATGTACCGCCGTTACGTAATCAGAGTACAAATTATGAGTAACTGTATTCAGTTACAGTTACTGTTTCAATGAGTGGTAATTGGATTACAGTTACTTTGTTGAAATAAATGGATTACATAGCAGTATTTTCCTGTTTTCACATTTTATGCTACATCCCATTTATTCATTTATTTATTCTATTTTGGTAATTCCACTCATTGCTGGAAACCCAAACAGAACGCGACAGTAAGAGCGATGTAAACGTCATGTTCACGTTGGCGGCGTCAGTCACATAATGGACGAGGTTGAAGAGCCAGTAGAACAGAGGCAGCAGTGCACAGGTAAAAACACATTTGTGTCTTGGAAATTCTTCTCCCGACGTGAAATATAAAAGAAAATAACCAATATAAAATCACCTGCAAGTTAAACGTCAAACTGGAGGGGAATACATACAAAAGTAAACTTCCCAACACTGCCCATGAGCCAAAAAAATTTGCCTACCCCTGGTGTAGATTGTGTCCACAGATTATTTGCAGTAAGACTGTAAACAGTCGAGTCACCAGTCGTATAATGGAGTTTAGCTCAGGTGTTTAATTTGCTCGTCTTTCATCTTTTATTATCAGAGCTTAAGATTCACTTCAGAATTATTATTTTTTTCATTCTTCCCCTTTGGTTTATAAACGTAATAAATCATTAAAATGTAAAACTTTCAATAGTGAAGATGATTCTTATGTGTTTGTAACAAAAACATAATCAAGTCACATGACACAACACAGCAATGTGTGTCCTATTGGTTCAGAGTGATGATGTCACACACTATTGGTTCAGAGTGATGATGTCACACATGTGTGCGTCCTATTGGTTCAGAGTGATGATGTCACACATGTGTGCGTCCTATTGGTTCAGAGTGATGATGTCACACATGTGTGTCCACAGACTCGGTGCGGTTGGTCTCGGGGTCCGGTCTGTGTTCAGGATCAGTGCAGATCTGGGACGGGTCCTGGACCGGGGTCTGTGACGGGGACTTGGACCAGCGGGGGGCAGAGGTGCTGTGCAGGGAGCTGGGCTGTGGGGCTCCTTCTCTCCTCCAGGGGGCGCTCTCTCCTCTGGGGCAGACGTTCCACTGTGAGGGCCATGAGTCTGCTCTGATGGACTGTCCCCGCTCCAACTCAAGCTCCTGCTCCTCTGGAACCACTGTCCAACCTCACCTGCTCAGGTAAAGGGGCGGGGCTTCACTGCTCAGGGAAAAGGGCGGGGCTTCACTCTGTCTCTTGTCTGTTCAGAGCCGCTCAGGTTGGTGGGAGGAGCCAGTCGCTGTGCTGGAACTGTGGAGCTGAAACACAGAGGAGAGTGGAGACGAGTGGATGTGTCCTATGACCTCTGGCACCAGGAGCACACAGTTGGTGTGTGCAGAGACCTGGACTGTGGCTCTGCTGTTTATGGAAAACATAGATATAATTTTTCAAAGAGTCCTGTGTGGAGGGTCAGACCTGACTGTGTGAAGGAGTCTTCAGTGAGAGAATGTGTCTGGGCTTCATCTTCTTCCTCTTCCTCGGGTCTGGAGGTGAAGTGTTCAGGTAAAAGTGTTTTTGTAAATGTTCAGGTTGAATGTGTCCAAATAGAAGAAAGGAAACGTGTGTGACATGGTTAAATGTGTGAAAAGTCCCTTTTGCAGCAGAGCTCTGCTTTAATAGTTGAATCTTGTAGATTGTGTGCAGCAGTGACAGTGACAGAGTGTCTCATGTTCTCTTTGCTGATTCTCTGGAGATGGAGTAAACCTGTGTGCTTGTGATGGAGGATGCTGGGAGTGTGTGTGTGTTTGATTCTTGTTGTAAATGGATTCTACATAAAAGATCCGTTTAGACAAAGTTGTGTCTCTGATGACGTCATAGATGAGAAAATAAAGCTGCTTTTGTCTTAAATGTGTTTCATTTGTAAAGTGGAAGTGTCAGTGCGTTTACATGTGCAGCAGGATCCCAGTTATGACACTGTTCTGGACAGAGTGTTTCCATGAGCTCAGAGAAACCAGGATACTCATGTCCCTGTGCACATGCACCATCAGAGGAGACGGGACATTTACACTGGTCGCTATGGCAACTATGGCACAGATATGACAAAATGATAAACATGGAGCATCTTTGATCATTTAAGACTTTTTAACTGATTTATAACAACAAAAAACACTTACACACATTCAACTAACACACAAACACACACACACAAACACACACATACACACACAGATACACACTGTGTGAGGGGGCGTGTCTGTGTGAGGGGCGTGTCTGTGTGAGGGGGCGTGTCTGTGTACATTATAAGTTTAAATCAGACGGTGTCAAATTTTTACTGCAAAGTTTAACTGAACCTTTTTACAACTAAAGAAATAAACAAACGAACTCAAGTCCTGATGTGGAGAGTAACTCAAGTCCTGATGTGGAGAGTAACTCAAGTCCTGATGTGGAGAGTAACTCAAGTCCTGATGTGGAGAGTAACTCTAGTCCTGATGTGGAGAGTAACTCAAGTCCTGATGTGGAGAGTAACTCTAGTCCTGATGTGTAGATTGTGTGTCCACAGATTATTTGCAGTAAGACTGTAAACAGTCGAGTCACCAGTCGTGTAATGGAGTTTAGCTCAGGTGTTTAATTTGCTCGTCTTTCATCTTTTATTATCAGAGCTTAAGATTCACTTCAGAATTATTATTTTTTACATTCTTCCCCTTTGGTTTATAAACCAAATAAATCATTAAAACTTAAAACTTTTAATAGTGAAGATGATTCTTATGTGTTGTAACAAAAACATAATCAAGTCACATGAACACAGCAAGTGTCCTATTGGTTCAGAGTGATGATGTCACACATGTGTGTGCGTCCTATTGGTTCAGAGTGATGATGTCACACATGTGTGCGTCCTATTGGTTCAGAGTGATGATGTCACACATGTGTGTGCGTCCTATTGGTTCAGAGTGATGATGTCACACATGTGTGTGCGTCCTATTGGTTCAGAGTGATGATGTCACACATGTGTGTGCGTCCTATTGGTTCAGAGTGATGATGTCACACATGTGTGTGCGTCCTATTGGTTCAGAGTGATGATGTCACACATGTGTGCGTCCTATTGGTTCAGAGTGATGATGTCACACATGTGTGCGTCCTATTGGTTCAGAGTGATGATGTCACACATGTGTGTGCGTCCTATTGGTTCAGAGTGATGATGTCACACATGTGTGCGTCCTATTGGTTCAGAGTGATGATGTCACACATGTGTGCGTCCTATTGGTTCAGAGTGATGATGTCACATGTGTGTCCACAGAGTCGGTGCGGTTGGTCTCGGGGTCCGGTCTGTGTTCAGGATCAGTGCAGATCTGGGACGGGTCCTGGACCGGGGTCTGTGACGGGGACTTGGACCAGCGGGGGGCAGAGGTGCTGTGCAGGGAGCTGGGCTGTGGGGCTCCTTCTCTCCTCCAGGGGGCGCTCTCTCCTCTGGGGCAGACGTTCCACTGTGAGGGCCATGAGTCTGCTCTGATGGACTGTCCCCGCTCCAACTCAAGCTCCTGCTCCTCTGGAACCACTGTCAACCTCACCTGCTCAGGTAAAGGGGCGGGGCTTCAGTGCTCAGGTAAAGGGGCGGGGCTTCACTCTGTCTCTTGTCTGTTCAGAGCCGCTCAGGTTGGTGGGAGGAGCCAGTCGCTGTGCTGGAACTGTGGAGCTGAAACACAGAGGAGAGTGGAGACGAGTGGATGTGTCCCATGACTTCTGGCACCAGGAGCACACAGTTGGTGTGTGCAGAGACCTGGACTGTGGCTCTGCTGTTTATGGAAAACATAGATATAATTTTCCACATAGTCCTGTGTGGAGGGTCAGACCTGACTGTGTGAAGGAGTCTTCAGTGAGAGAATGTGTCTCTGGTTCATCCTCCTCTTCCTCTTCCTTGGGTCTGGAGGTGAAGTGTTCAGGTAAAAGTGTTTTTGTAAATGTTCAGGTTGAATGTGTCCAAATAGAAGAAAGGAAACGTGTGTGACATGGTTAAATGTGTGAAAAGTCCCTTTTGCAGCAGAGCTCTGCTTTAATAGTTGAATCTTGTAGATTGTGTGCAGCAGTGACAGTGACAGAGTGTCTCATGTTCTCTTTGCTGATTCTCTGGAGATGGAGTAAACCTGTGTGCTTGTGATGGAGGATGCTGGGAGTGTGTGTGTGTTTGATTCTTGTTGTAAATGGATTCTACATAAAAGATCCGTTTAGACAAAGTTATGTCTCTGATTTGAACCCAAACCCCTCTCACTTTGAATCCCACGCTCCTGAGTCTGTGACACAAACTCAACAAACTCCAACACCACTGGAGCAGCCGGAGGCACTTCGCTTCCTTCTCCTTGATTCCTCTCCTCAATCCTCCTCTGTTCAGCTGTCAATCAAATGAGCCAGATCAACTTAGCAACTTTACATCAAGTTCATCTGCACCTGGAGGTTTTAATTTTATGGAGTAAGAAGTTTTCAAAAAATATTCGTGCTCATAGAATAGAAATCCGTGCATATTTGGCTGTAGTTGCGCATAAAATAAATATTTGTAAACTCTCAAATGAGTCCAGTCGTACATAAAATATATTGTGTGTATTTTATCCATCAAAATACGAATTGAAAAGTTACTACGTCAAGAATTACAATCACCAAATGAAAATTTACGATTACGCTTTCATCAGTACAAATATGAATTCACAGATGGGACTTTACTGTTAAAAACACTTCATCACTTCACAGACATTATTTATGGAGCAGAAGAAACATGGATCAAGATCAAGACTGTGCATGTTTAAGTTTGTAGCAGAGTAAAAACAGAGTAATGACACAACAAGGAGCTACAACAAGCGACCAACAAGTGGGTTCATTCCAATTTATTATAAAAATGTCTTGTCTTGTCACATTGAATTCGGGAACCGAACTCTACTGTGTGATACTGTGTAGAAACACCTCCTCTGAATGGGAAACTGCACCTATATCTTAGTAGAAACACAGTGGAGCCAGTTGGCAACATCAGACGTAACATTAGCCCAGGGATAATGAGCAAATATCAGCGTTCTCTGCATGTTTAGATTAAAACATTCATGGCTACAGCCTCAGTGAGCATCAGTCAGTCTTAACCTTCATCTCAGCTGTATTTCTCACATGAAATGTGACCAAAAGTTCCTCAGGACGCTGAAATGTCCCAGTTTACACCAAACACTATGAAACTGTCCTGGTTACAGACGTCACAGCCAATGAAATGTTACACATTACAGTTTAATGCAGCTTCCAGCATCAATTAATGTTCGTGTTTACAGGCAACACCTTGGTATGTTTACAGTATTTACAGGTAAGTATAACGTCACCGTGTCGTGGAGTGAATGGATTTGATAGTTCATTATAACCCATTATAACTCATATATAACCCATTGTCTGTAACCAGGACAGTTTGGTCGTGTTTGGTGTAAACTGGGACATTTCATTGTCCCGAGGAACTTTTGGTCACATTTCATGCGAGAAATGCAGCTGAGATGAAAGTGAAGACTGACTGATGCTCGCCGTGACTGGAGCCGTGAATGTTTTAATCTAAACATGCAGAGAACCTGATATTTACTAATTAGCCCTGGGATGTTCGTCTGATGTTCACCAACTGGCTCCACTATGTTATTTACTAAGATATATGAAGAATCCCTCAGTCGTCCAGGTAGAATCCATGAGGAGAAAATTCAGTTTGTCGACTGGACAAAAGTTAGTTTAGTTGAAGAGGTTGTCGCAGCTCATCCAAGCTGCTTCTTCAGTTCTGAAGACAGAACTGTCAGTCGGCAAACTGAATTTTCTCCTCACTACTAAGATATAGGTGCAGTTTCCCGTTCAGAGAAGGTATTTCTACACAATATCACACAGCAGCGTTTGGTTCCCAAATTCAATGTGAGAAGACAAGACATTTTTACAATAAATTTGAATGAACCCACTTGTTGGTCGCTGTTGTAGCTTCTTGTTGTGTCATTACTCTGATTTTACTCTGCTACAAACTTAAACATGCACAGTCTTGATCTTGATCGATGTTTCTTCTGCTCCATAAATAATGTCTGTGAAGTGATGAAGTGTTTTTGACAGTAAAGTCGCGTCTATGAATTCGTATTTGTACTGATGAAAGTGTAATCGTAAATTTTCATTTGGTGATTGTAATTCTTGACGTCGTAACTTTTCAATTCGTATTTGGATGGCTAAAATACACACAATATATTTTATGTATGACTGGACTCATTTGAGAGTTTACAAATATTTATTTTATGCGCAACTGCAGCCAAATATGCACGGATTTCACGCAAATATTTTTGAAAGCTTTCTTACTCCATATAATTTCATTAATTTTAACACATTCTCTACAGTACTTGTACTTACTTTATCCATCCATCCATCCATTTTCTTTCGCTTATCTGGGGCCGGGTCGCGGGGGCAGCAGTCTAAGCAGGGACTCCCAGACTTCCTTCACCCCAGACACGTCCTCCAGCTCCTCCGGGGGAACCCCGAGGCGTTCCCAGGCCAGCCGAGAGACATAGTCCCTCCAGTGTGTCCTGGGTCTTCCCCGGGGCCTCCTCCCGGCGGGACATGCCCGGAACACCTCCCGAGGGAGGCGCCCAGGAGGCATCCGGAACAGATGCCCGAGCCACCTCAGCTGGCTCCTCTCAACGTGAAGGAGCAGCGGCTCTACTCCGAGCTCCTCCGGTGTGACTGAGCTCCTCACCCTATCTCTAAGGGAGCGCCCAGCCACCCTGCGAAGGAAACTCATTTCGAGCGCTTGTATCTGCGATCTCATCCTTTCGGTCACTACCCAGAGCTCATGACCAGAGGTGAGAGTAGGAACGAAGACTGACCGGTAAATCGAGAGCTTTCGCCTTTCGGACTCAGCTCCTTCTTCACCACAACGGTCTGATACAGCGACCGCATCACTGCAGACACTGCACCAATCCGCCTGTCAATCTCACGTTCCGTCCTTCCCTCACTCGTGAACAAGACCCCGAGATACTTGAACTCCTCCACTTGAGGCAGAGACTCCCCACCCACCCGGAGAGGGCAAGACACCTTTTTCCGGTCAAGAACCATGGCCTCAGACTTGGAAGAGCTGATCTTCATCCCAGCAGCTTCACACTCGGCTGCAAACCGCCCCAGTGCACATTGCAGGTCCTGGTTCGATGGAGCCAACAAGACAACATCATCTGCGAACAACAGAGATGAAATCCTGTGGTCCCCAAACCGGCCCCCCTCCGGCCCCTGACTGCGCCTAGAAATTCTGTCCATAAACACAATGAACAGAACCGGTGACAAAGGGCAGCCCTGGCGGAGTCCAACATGCACCAGGAACAGGTCTGACTTACTGCCGGCAATGCGAACACAGCTCCTGCTCCGGTCATACAGGGATCGGACAGCCCTTAGCAAAGGGCCCCGGACCCCAAACTCCGAGAGCACCCCCCACAGGACACCACGAGGGACACGGTCGAATGCCTTCTCCAAGTCCACAAAGCACATGTGGACTGGTTGGGCAAACTCCCATGAACCCTCGAGCACCCGATGGAGAGTGTAGAGCTGGTCCAGTGTTCCACGGCCAGCACGAAAACCACACTGCTCCTCCTGGATCCGAGGTTCGACTATCGGCCGGATTCTCCTCTCCAGTCCCTGGCATAAACCTTACCGCGAAGGCTGAGGAGTGTGATTCCCCTGTAGTTAGAACACACCCTCCGGTCCCCCTTCTTATACAGAGGGACCACCACCCCAGTTTGCCAGTCCAGAGGCACTGTCCCCGACCACCACGCGATGAAGAGGCGTGTCAGCCAAGACAGCCCCACAACATCCAGAGACTTAAGGTACTCAGGACGGATCTCATCCAACCCCGGAGCCTTGCCACCAAGGAGCTTTCTGTAGGGAAAGATGCCTGTTCAGGGCCTGCTTCCCCCCATTCTGATAGAATCCACAAACCAGGAACCTAGAGAAGTCGGTTCCGCCTGACTGCCTCTTGGTATTTACAACCCCAAGAGAATCGACCTTCGGTGCTTCCACACCTCTCTTCCCCCACGCCAGGTGGGACATGAACCAGAATGGGAAATTGACATGGCTCTGCTAAAGTGATAAGGACTGTTAAATAATGACTTTCTTCATTGTGCTTTGAAGAAACAGACCCACATCATCTACATACCAGACCATCAGGCGCCAAGGTTTGGACCGGTTAAAACCGCGATGGACTGTGGTTGCCACTTTTGGACACTAGAGAAGGACTGGATTAAACGCATCTCGATAACTAGTTAAAAATGTTTTTAACTGTGTTCTATATAAGGCTCATGTTGATAAAAGACAAGTATGCCACATTGCTTAATTCATGTGTTCATAGTCTCTTGTGTGTATTTCATGTCATGTTCCCACGAAAGTATTTACGGTAACTTCACGGCGTGTTTTCAGACAGATATACCTTTGATTTCTTTGTATGAATCGTCGGCTAATGTTATCGTAAACAGTTAGTACCTGAATGTGGGAAGTTATCAATTTAATATTTGCAAATGATATTTGTACGGGGACCAGTTCAGCTCAGACGCGGGCGTGCCTTAAATTTGCATATAACAACGCCCACCAAGCGCACTGACCAAAACGAAGCCTCACGCGCGAAAAGAAAGGCTTTTTCCACTACGCATCGCGCTTTCCGCCTTGCCTCGCGGCGGCGAGGCAAGGCGAAGAGGACCAGGGAAGACGGCCGGTCGGAGAGACCCAGGGGGAGCTGTAACAGACCTGGAGTCGCACCTGCCGAGAGCTGAGGACCAGAGCCGGTGAAGGAGGCGTGGACCGCCCTGCCTGCCCGTGCGCATGACCACCGCCGAACCCCGCCATCGCCGCATTCCACACGGACCGAGAACAGCATCGCCAAGTAAGGCTGGTTCAGACAGTGAATGAATAAGGGTTGGCATCCCTCTTACGATTGCGTCCAATTATTCCCAAGGCAAGCGCAGTAGCGACTTAGCGAAACGCCATAACTGAGCTAAACTGAACCCCGTTTTATAACTACCTCAGGTTGTTAAAATCGGTGCTTTAATGTTACGTAACCAGAACTTGGAAGCTGGTGTCTAGTTATTGTTTGTTAATAAACCACACAAAGGAATTTGCTGGTTTCAGTGATTTTTCTTAAAGTTATCATCAGGTCACTTTTTCGGGTACGTTCCCTTCAGATTGATTTAATTGATAAGTTGTTATTGTCGCATATGGTTAAGTTTGATTCGGTCAGAATCTGGTGCCCCGCAAATGTATAATTTCAATAATTCGTCAAAAGCTAAACCACATGCTCAAACACGCACATCTTACAACACGTTAAATCGCATTTTCTCCTACATTTCCAACCACCTCAGTGACTTCAGCCAGGGTGATGGACGAGTCCACCTCGGAGTCCCCAGCCTCGGCTTCCTCCTCAGAAGACCTGATGGTGGGA